TAATTAGAAGCAAAATATCGATTTTCAGGGAATGAAGAAGCACGTGCTTTCTCTTCACTTCAGTCTTCACAAAGGAATCTTCCGATATTTCTTTATTCTAAATTTTCTTCGTCAAATCAATTAATTAAGAAAAACGTTATCTGGGTCCCATAACCTGTTAAATTTCTTATTACGTAGATCGCTTAATTAATTGATACAATATTGAAAGACATTAATAGACAAGAAATAAACTTTGCAACGTTCTCGACTTGTTTATTATCAACCGGATCAACAGAAAAGGAAAAGTGAAGTTACATACAAAGCAAAGAACATTGGGTCCAAAGAAAATAAATGTATATTATAAATCATAATGTTTTAATATAAAACATAAAACTTAACAGAGATAATGTTAAAAGTGAATTTTTATCATTCATTATATGTTAATTTGTGAAAAAATCAGACAATATGTCCCATTGCCGTCATCTGATTTCATGTGTAGTTAAGGGATTATTCTAATTAACTTAAACGGTTTTCTTGACTTTCTTAGCAGAGTAGATTGAATTTCAATTTCCTCTTCTAGACCAGGGGTGAGCAAACTACGACCCGCGACTATATTCAAGTATATAGGCACATATGCGGCCCTTCAAAAGTAAAATGTGGCCCTCACAGCAAAAAGTTTGCCCACCCCTGTTTTAGACTGATTATTTCTATTTATTATCTCCAATCTTTTCTGTTGCTTGTGTTTTCCACCGTTTCACAATTCGCATGACCAGTCCACCCCTCATTGTCCCTCCAATTTTTTTGACAAAATCTTGCCTTATATGACATTATCTCAACAAATAAGTTTGAATTTTAGTATTACAAAAAAGCCCTTCTGAAGTCTTCTCGAAGGAGGCACTGTACAAACCTGGATACTGTTACTGATACATTTCGTGACAAAGTTTTGAGACTGCTGCATCTTTCTTTTAATATTACTGATTCTTGTCTATCTTGGTTTTCTTCTTATCTCTGTAATCGTTTTTATTCTGTGGTTCTCAATAATTTTACTTCTAACTCCTCTACTCTTACTTTCGGGGTACCTCAGGGTTCTATCCTTGGTCCTCTTCTATTTAAAATCTATACTTCTGAACTACCTCGTATTATTAATAACTTTTCTTTTTCTAGTCAACTATATGCTGATGATTCTTACATTTATACTTCTTTTCCTCCATCTAATCTCAATAGTGTTCTTCATAATTTATCTCTATGTCTTTCTTCAATTATCGCTTGGTCTGACTCTATGTGTCTTAAACCTAATCTTTCTAAGTTTGAATTAATTTGTTTTAATAAATCTAAACACTCTATTACTATTCCTCCTATTATTTTACCTGATTCTAAAACTCTTGATGTCTCATAAGTTTCGTAGTCTAGGTTTTATCTTTGATTCTACTATGTCTCTCTCTTCTCAGATTAATAGTGTTGCTAGAAGCTCTTACTTTCATCTACGTAGAATAAAACACTTTTGCCTTTTCTTGATGATCCTACTCTTCTCCTTCTTGTCACTTGGTTAGTCTTATCTAGGATTGATTATTGTAACTCGCTCTACTATGGTCTTCCTGACTCTATACTCTATCCTTTAAGTAAAGCTTTTAACTCTGCTGCTTGTCTAGTTGCTCGTGCCCCTTTCTTTTCTCATATATCTCCATATCTTGTTCTCTTGCACTGGCTACCTATAAAATATAGAATAATTTTTAAAATTTGCACGTTCATGTATAAGTCTCAATCTAAATTATTTCCCAAGTATTTATCAGATATATTAATTGAACCTAAACGCCCCGGTTAACGATCGTCTTCTTCTCGCTTTTTCTTAACTCGTGTTAAACACTCTTTTGCCAAATCTGCTTTTGCTTTTTCTGGTCCTTTTCTCTGGAACTCTCTACCTACTTCTCTGACTACATCTCCATCACTTGCGAAGTTCAGAGCGGATCTCAAGACCCAGCTGTTTTCAAAATTCATCGAGGAGCGCTGTTGAACATCGCAGAAATAGCGCTTTATAAGCTAATTGATTGATGATTGAAGTTGTTGAAAAAAATGTCAATTTATTTTTCATGAAAAAATCTTAATACTTTAATTTTAATATTTTGTGCAGAGTATTATGGGTAATTGCAAAAGTTCCACTATAAAAAATGATACTCCAAAAAAGTAATGTTATGTTAAATATATCTTTGACTTAATTTACAATAAATAAATAAATAGTAAACTATCGTGCCCTATGTCATATTTTAAACAGAAGAAAAATTACCCTTGCAATTTTTGGCTTGGACAATGCTGGCAAAACATTAACAGCTAAAGGACTGTTGGGACGTTAGTTTTCTTATTTATATTTTTTGAACTTTTTAAATTTATCAAACTTTAAGGGTTTCTGTAAGTATTTGGGATGATGAAGTAAATTAACACCTACAGCGCCGATCTTAGCTATTGTGACAGGAAAAGCAAAACTTGTTTACGAGGTGTAACATGATGTATTATTGATGATATCACAAATAGAAGGTAGGAAGCTTAACATTAACGAGTAGAAGCAAGACCAATGCGCTGAAATTGTAGATAAGTATGGTATAGAAAATAGCTCAAACCATAGACTCCTAAATAATGCTCAAACCCATGCGATTCCTAGATGTAATATTCTTATTTTTGAATCAATTTTTATCTTAAATAAAGATCGTTATTGAATTTTAAAAAATGAATTTGTTTAGTTGAATATAAAAAAATTAATAAGCAATGCAAAAAAATGAATTTTATAACGGGAAAAAATCTAATTAAATCAAAGCATTGAAAGCAAAGTTTGTTAGCTCAAACCCATGCGATTCCTAGATGTAATATTCTTTTTTTGAATCAATTTTTATCTTAAATAAAGATCGTTATTGAATTTAAAAAAAATGGATTTGTTTAGTTGAATATGAAAAAATTAATAAGCAATGCAAAAAATAAAATGAGTCGATGCAACATGGTATAATATTTTATAAAATTGCTTTGATTAGTCTCAGTTTAAAAATGCTACATTCCCCACAAGCACTAGTTACAGGAATCGAAAAAAACGCGCAAAACAACCTGTTTTTGGATGTAACCATTGTGAAAAATGTTTTATAAACTTCGCAAGAGAGCGTAATTTCTTCTGTTTTCAGCTACTTTTTTGGCATCAAACACGATGTCAAATATGCTTATTTCTGAACTAATTTTTGAATTTAATCAAGGAAACTAAAAAACTATCAAGAATAAGTTTGGAGACAGCATCTGGCACCCTGGTTACCCAGCGCCAAATATCTTTTCCGAATTGCAGCGAAGTTTCTGTAATATTTTTTAATAATAATTTTTCTGATTATAGTGTAAAAACCGCTTTCAAACATGGTTATTTATTCTAAAATTTTTAATTTTCTATGAAACACAGAGACGTTTGTTTGTACATTAAAAAATATTTTCACAAGGGAGATTTGAGCAGTAGCGGATTTATGTCCTTCCAACAGTCAAAAATCATTTTTTTATAATTTTTAAAAATTTAGCTAACATATACTGGTTTGATTACATGCTATACGTTAAAACAACGCTTTTATTCATTAAGACATGGTTTTTTTTTTACATAAAACACCGTTTTAAATAAGAAAATTGAAAAGCAAAAAAAAAAGAAAAAAAGAACAGAACTAGATAAGAGTCACTAAATTGCTCACTAATAATGGATATAAAAATTCCATGATCCAGAAAATAATAGAACTCAAACAACAAAAAATCAACAGCAACAACAACAATGCAACTAACAATAGCAACAGAAATAACATAGTAATATACTATAAGAACCACATGTCAACTGCTCTCGAACAGGATGAAAAAATCATAAAGGATCATAAAAAAATAATGTTTGAGCAACAAACGAAAACGAAGTATTAAACTATGAATATACTACTCCAACCTCAAGTAGATTTCTAATTGGTTATAAGATAGACGATAAAAAGTTGGTATTGGTGACAATTTTTCAAACTGGTGCAATGTTACAAGTTAAGACTTTTGTTATTTGTGATATACTTAACGACTTTAATATAGTAATTAAATCTAAAATTTCAAAATTTGCAGATGACACTAACTTTTGTGCCGTTGTAGACATTGAAATTTTAGCATACGATTTGCAAAAGTATTCAAATGGGCTGAGGATTGGCAGGTGGTATTCAACACCAACAAATGTGCAGTCATAAATATGGGAGCGAACAACAAGACAAACGTATTCAAACTTGGAGACACAATACTAAAAAATGTAGACGAGGAAAAGGATCTAGAGGTGATAATTCATCGGAATGGTAAGGTAGCGCGGCAATGCATCGAGGCAGCTAAAAGTGCAGATAGAACTCTGGGTATGATAAAAAAACAGTAAAATGCAAAGATATGATCGTGATATTAAACCTGTATAAAGCATTGGTCCGACCTAAGTAGGAGTACTATCTTCAGCTTTGGAATCCAGATTTACAAAATGACAGACATATGCTTAAGAATATTCAAAGGAGGGCAACGAGAATGATAAAGGAGTGTCGTGGTATGCCACATGAAGTCAGATTAAAAGTTTGTGGTTTAACAACATTAGAAAAAAGAAGAACAAGAGAAGATTTGATTCAGGCATACTGTTTGAACAGTAGAACAAGGTAGCATGAATATAAGATTTTTAAAAAAGGCTCGCGATCGATAAAGCAATAATTTTTCAGCTACAGAGTTGTCAACGAGTGGAACAAACTGGGAGATGAAATAATAGGCGCAGAAACAACTAACTTTAAAGCAAACTTGGCAAAAATTGGATAATAAAAAAAATCTCAGAGTGGTTCTGTCATAGACTCAGTCTTCTTGGATCACTATAAAAATTTTGTTATGTTATGTTATGTTAACCAAAGAACGTCATCTCTCATGATGAAAAACAACCGCACTAGTAAGCCAGAATCGATAATGGATCATAGCCATTTAATATATTCGTTCAAATATGAAATGATGAGTGTAGGCACCATAATTTTGAATATATTGGTATGACGACGACCAAGCTATCGAGAAGACTCACAATGCACGTTCAGTCTGGCGCTATAAAGAATTTCATGAAAGAGAAACACAAAACTAAAATTACTAGACAAATCTTGGACCACAATATTGAAATCTTACATTACAATAACAACCATTATAATTTACGACTAGCCGATTCAATACTCATAGAACAAAACAAAAACATCCGATAATAGATATTCAGCAATGGGCAATTGGAATTCTTCCTACTAAAAGATTTAGAAACAGAGGAATCATCGATAATGAAAACACGTAAAAGTGTTATATTGGACGAAGTTGAAGATCGTAAAACTAATGAACTGGGCGTTAAATACTCACTTTGAACAAACAATGAATCAACAGAGTAGAGACAGAGTGTGTATGTGTGTGTGTGTATATATATATATATATATATATATATATATATATATATATATATATATTTGAGCATCTGGGCACATACACAACGTATCAATTCCAACAACGAAGATGGTATAGGAATACCGAAAAAAGCTTTTTTGTTCTATCATGCATAAAATGAACAAAAATTTTGGTTTTGAACTAAAGAAGCTTGAAAATGATTTACGATGAACCTTTGGAAAAATCGAAAAGTTAAACAGGAAGTTAACTAATGCCGAACATGTTGTGATTTTCATCAATAATTATATATATATATATATATATATATATGTATATATATATTGGGTTTAGACTATCATAAATACAATTATTTATAAAGATCACGGCATTTTCGGCATTATTTAACTTGTAGTTGAGTTTCTCTTTTCTCTGAGTTCATTATTGAGATTAGAGTTAACGTAACTTTCATCTGTACCGACGCATTTAGTTCATGGAGAAACTCAACTACAAGTTGAATAATGCCGAAAACACAGTGATTTTTATAAATAATTGTATATATATATATATATGTATATATATATATAGTTATTAAGAAATATCATCGCATTGTTCAGTTAGTTACTCCACAATAAATTTTTTTTATTATAGAGCCCGAGGGTTTGGTTGCTCCAACAATAGGCTTTTCTAATATGTCCTTTACATTTCATGATAACGATATCACGCTTTATGATCTTGGCGGTGGCAAAAATATCAGAGAAATCTGGAAGAATTACTTCACCGATGTTCATGGTCTGATTTATGTGGTTGATGCCAGCGACTATGCACGGTTATCAGAATCAAAGGCCGAACTGCTGAAGTTGGTCAACAACAATTTTATTAAGGGAAAACCTATTTTGATGTTAGTTTTTTAAAAATTTGTTCTTGTTACTTTTTTTTATGATTAGTGATTTTTGCTTAAAAACTTAATTTAAATAAACATCTAGGAAAGATTTTTATTTTGATTGCTAATACTATAGAGTACCTATATAGAACACGAGAAAATGTATTTGTCATCATCAATTCAAACAGGCACATCTTTGATTTAGGAGGATGGCCAATGTTTATTCTTTTCATTTTATGTGCAGTCAACAATATTATTATGCACATTTTCTTGCTTTCTGTCAACAATCATTTATCATCACCAATTGCAAACTGAACAACGCCTTCAATGCTGTGATATTTAAATTTTTAAACAACTGTATGCCAGATAGTCTCAACCAAATATTTATAAAATATGCAAGGACTTAACTACAAAGAGAATTTCCACTAGTGTTGACAAATGTTTGTCGTAAAAAAAGCTTTTATGTTATAATGTAGTATGTATATGCTGTACGGAAGTGCCAAAAATGAATAAAAATTTTGTTTATGAACTGAACAAATGTGATAACTGAACAAACATGATAATTAATTAAAATTCGTCGTACAAAAATTGAAAAATTCAATTGCAAATTGTACAATGTCAGAGAGTGTGCGTACAATACATAAATATCACGCATTGTGGGCATTGTTCAATTTGCAATTGAAATTATTAATTTTTCTTACAACGTAAAACTTAATTGCAAATTGAACGATGGCTGCTTGTGATACTTCTCTCTCTCTCTTTCTTTCTTTATATATATATATTATATATATATATATATTATATATATGTACATATGCTGGTAAAAGACCATAATTAGTACAGTAATTTATAAAATCTGCCGAATTTCTAGCGTTGGATAGTTTTATATTACATTTTCAATATTGACAAGAATTTAGTTAAAAATATACACGAATATTTATATGGCGCTAATTAAATAGTTTTTCAAAAGCGCTTACAAATAAAATAATATACAAAATAGTCGAAGACAAACATTCATCAAACAATTAATTAAATCAAACATTAAATAAACATTAGATCAGTAAAAAATAAACATCAATGATTGACACAACAGCGAAAATAAATATGTTTTCAACATCTTCTTAAATTTTTCAACACCCAGAGCAGGGTCTCGCAGGTTTTTGGGAAGACCGTTCCAGACTCTAGGACCAAACACGGCAAAGCTTCTAAATCCAAGTTTCGTTTGAGTCAACGGGACCGACAGATAGTTTAAATCGTCCGAACACAGGCCGAGGGAATATGATGCTTTCGACTGACATTTGTTCTTCAAATACTCTGGTGCGGAATTATTCACACTCTTGAACACTATTGTGCAGACTTTAAAAATTATTCGCTTGTCGACAGTCAACCAATGAAGCTGAGCAAGAATCGGAGATACATGATCAAATTTATACGCGCCGTGAACAATTTTTGCTGCACGGTTTTGGATAGACTATAACATTCTAATAGATTTATCGGGTAAACCATAATACATACTGTTGCAGTAGTCCAACCGAGAGTGAATGAACGCATGCATTAAACCTTCAATCGTACTTTTGTTCAAGGACTTTCTTATAGAACGTATTTTATGTAATTGAGCAGCGCACACTTTAGTTAGTAGTTTGATATAATCAACAAACGTCAATTTTGAGTCAAAGATCATTCCCAGATTAGTGGCATTACTGCTACACTCAATATTATGCCCATCTAGAGTAATAAAATCAATCTTGACTCGCGACAACTGCTGCCATGAGCCAACTTTCATCAGTTCAGCTGATGAAAATGGTTGAGTTTCAGTCGATTTGATAACATCCACACACTCACCTCAGTCAAACAATGCACTAATCTAGTAAAAGCATCTTGAAATTTATCGGCAGGACAGCTGACAATCATCTGTATGTCATCTGCGTAAGCATGACAAAACACCCCAGATTTATCTATTATTTCTAGTACGTCGGACGTATATAAAAGAAACAGTATCGGTCTCAAAACCGACCCTTGTGGTACACCAGATGTGACGACCTCTGTTATTGACAACTTATCATTGAATAAAACCTGTTGCGTTCTTGACGTGAGATAAGAGTTGAACCATGAATGAGCAACACCCGTGACTCCAAAACTGAGGCGGTTCGTTTCAACAGTATCTCATAGTCGACGCTGTCAAAAGCCGCTCATATCTAGGAACGCTAGCAATGAAATATCCTGTGCATCCACATCTTTGTATAACACCGACGATATTTGCAGCAGAACAGTTTCCGTTGAGTGGAACTGTCTGTAGCCTGATTGATGAGCCAACAACAAGTTGTTACGTGCCAGATATTTCAACAGCCCCCTTTGAAATAAACGAAAGATTGGTTATTGGTCTATAATTATTTAAATCGCTCACATCCAGATCTGTTTTTTTAAGACTATGCCGTGTTTGGCAATTTTAGGGAATTTTCCTGTACTTAGACATAAGTTAATAAGTTTTGTTAAAAATCTGGAAAAGAGGAGTATATGTTTTTTAAGAAAATGTGTTGGGAGACTGTCCAAGATACACGTTTTTGTGGGAGATTTACGTATTACCTTCACAACATCATCTTCAGTACATAATGCGAATGACAAAAATGTTTCACCATCCTTGGTTTGCCTTCTTGGAAATAATGGACCAACACTACCTGTTGTAGCCTGTCGAACCCTGTTTATTTATCTCTAAAGAATTGAGAAAAATCATCACTTGTAATTTTCCTGTTATCATCATCGCAACTGTTGTGAGAGTTTTTGCAAAGCATTTTGTTAACGTTATTCCACAATCGCTTTGTATTTCTTTTATTTTCGTCCAAACGAGTTTGCCAAAACACTTTTTTTCAGTAAAAATACGGTTTTTCATCTTGATAGCATTGACCCATTCTTGTTTGCTACTATTTAATAAAGTTCTCCTGTAACATTTTTCCAATTTTCGACATTTTTTTCGACATTCTAACCCAATTTTCCTAACCATGGGACATTCAAATCACATTAACTCTCAACTATATGCAATGGCTCACCTTATTGAAAATATTAAAGACTGTGCTATTGAACAGTTCACACATCTCATCAACATCCATACCATCACAGGGTGTGCTTATAGGGGAATCGTGAATAAGCCTAATGAATTCATCGAATAAGCCTAATGAACTCACTCGCTTCCACGACCGAACCATCTTCGTAATTCGTACTGGTTTTTAAACTTGAAAGGCGAACAAACTTTAAATAGGCCATGATCGGAATAAATTCCACTTGGAAAAACTTGTATTTCAGAGACAAAAATATCACAAGGAATGGCAATCAGGACTAATACGCCACCTTGTTCGTGAGTCGGTACATTAATAACATTTCTAATATGAACAAACAACACACGTTTAGACGACATTTTCCCCGAGATCGGGGGTTGACGTTTGGCTACCTATGATGAAACCGAAATACCCCTCGACGCCATTCACATCTGTCATTCGCCTCAGTATTACGCAACCCCGCTTTCACTCTGTCCTTCTTTACCTGCTATCTCCATCCTAATCGCGGACGACCCCTTCCTATCACTCCTTCAACCTGAAACTCCAACGCTCGCCTAATCCCGACCCTTTCATCCCTTCTCAACACATGTCCATACCACCGCAATCTCGATCTCCTTATCAATGTCACAATGTCCTCATTCAGTCCCATCATCGACATCAGCTCTGTACTACTCCTCCTATCCTTCACTTTAACATCATCCTAACCATAGCTCTTTCATCCCTCTACGGTACACTTTCCTCCTCTCTCCTCAACAT